GCAATGTGAGAAATTGTTGATCTGAGTCCCCTACAGCTCAACATAACAGCATGGCTTTACTTATTATATTTCTTTTTTATACTTTTCTGCTAGATGGTGAAGATCAAGATAAAGCAGGACCTATGAAACAAGACTTGTAGCTTTTGGGTCTGATAAGGTCAGTCAAATCCCCTCAGGATTTATTCTGAGATCCTGTACCTCAGATTGTAGATTGTTTGTCAGTGTCAGCCATGTGGATGAGTCACGGCATTGCTTGGCCAGTTTGCTCTCTGTGAAAGCCTGAGAGAATGTTTTATCTCCATGTGATTCTCCTTAGGCAAACTCTACATCATCAATCACTTTTCTCTTTGACCTTATAATCTCCTTGATCAGAAAATTTGGGACACAACTAAGTTACATGGTGTTATAGTTACAAGTTCTCATATGTCCTGAGTCTTAATTGACCTTGGAAGGTTAGGGCCAAAATGTTGGCTTTCCTTGCAGCCCTCTTTCTCTAATTTTGGTCTGCAAACTTAGGTTGTTCACCCTCCAGAAGAGAAGCTTATTGTTATTACCATACATCCTAGGCTTCTGAGCTTAACCTCACTATCTATCTGAATATCAAACATCTTAGGAAATTGTGATTGGAGAATTCACAGCCTGTGAGTGGACTACCAGAGGAACCATGTGATAGGAGGAATGGCAAGGGATGTCAGAAATAATTCACTGAAGAGATGAAGATATAATGCATTGAATATTAATATATTGAATTTAGAAAACATAAGGTGGGTTATCGAAGTAAATGATGAGTTTTCTAAAGTAAATTTGCTCAGGATATTTACTAATAACTAGGATATATAAAGAACTCAACAAAATTAGAAATGCTGAAATTAAGATTCAACAAAATACTGGTAATGGGAATGAATAGTTTCTCCTCTGAAGAAGAGGTATCAATGGACAATAAATACATCAAAAATGTGCAGCATCTTTGGGTAGACTAAATGTAAAATAAAACAATACTGAGATTTTACCTTATTTCAGTAAAGAATGGGCATTAGAAATTTAAAAAGCAACACACTGAAAATGTTTCAGAAAAAAATAAATCTTTCTATAGCAGAAGATGCCTCCCCCACCAGTATCCTGCAGTTTTTTAGTTATTCAGGTAATAGTTCCTGCTCCAGTTTCAGATTCTTCTCTCTCTTAAAAACAGCTGGTCACTGTATACATAGGTGGTTAGTGTGATGCATATAATAAGGACCAATCCTACCAATTAACTGCTAGTTTCAAAAAGGTACTAATGTTTCTCAGGATCATTGCCTTGCCCATCTTGTGTGTACAAGTGTGTGGCTTTGTCCCTGTCCCGTTTCACAGCTTTTCTCCTTACCCTCTCCTTGTTGTCCAATCCTCAAGTTCTTGCTTTCCTTTTAGTTGTGTTTATACCTTTCTATTTGTATTTCTTCTTTTGATTTCTTGTACTAGGAAGACTATAGGATATTTACACATATGGGTCTGGTTTAGTTCACTTATGAGTATATGTTCAAGTTCCATCCACTTCAATATAAAGGCTTCGAGTTTATCATTCTTAATAGCTGAATAATACTCCATTGTATAAAAATACCACGTCTTTTTCAACCATTCCTCAGACGATGGACATCTTGGTTGTTTCCAAGATTTGGCTCTCACAAATTGTGCTGCTATAAACATAGGTACACATATACCCCTATGATATGGTGTTTTCAGTTCTTCCGGGAAAATTCCAGGATATCCTGTCTGCTTCTTGTACTATGGATAATCACCAAGAAGATGACAAAAATGTCCTATTAATCGGCTTTGAAACTGTTTCATTGATATTTATTTCTCCATAAAATAGAATAAAAAAAGAGCCAATCCTCGATCACAAGCCACTCTGCCTCTGTACTTCCTGCTTACTTATTCCAGACAGAGGTCACGGCCTGATTTTGTGGGCTTGGTCCCGATCAGTCCCACTGACACAGAGAAACTCGCCCTCAAGTCCAGCTTCAGTGTTCCTGCTTGCTGCTGCACTTCTTTATTGTTGTTAATAATGTAAAATAGTGGAATCACTATGAAAATCACTACTGGGAGTCTGGCGAAAATAGAAATAGAAATTTCATTTGAGCCTCAAATATCATTCCTTGGTCTATCTGAATGAGCTAAGCTCATTATATTACACACACATATATGGTAGCACAAATCACAGGCGATAAATCAGAATGTAGAGTACATGCCCATCACCAAATTAGATGGACAAAGAAAATGAGAGCATGTGTACACAGTGGGGCAGTGTCCAGCCACAAGGGGGGCAAAATGCGAGCCATTTTTAGGAAAATAGATACATTGGGAAATCATAGTGCTGACATGGTAGAACTAAGTCAGCTTCAGAAGGTTAAATATCAGAGTTTCTCAATATGAAAGGCCAACAGCACAGAAATTTAGAGATCATAATAAAGGAACAAAGCTAAGAAATAAGAAGGCAGTATTTATACAGATGGGAAAGGAGAGAGAGGGGAAATCATGGGGAAGGGGCTTAAAAATGACAGATTCTCTCTCTCTATGTGTACCAACACTCAGTTTCATTACTATGTGGCCCTGTTTACTAATAAAATGATTCTGCAAATAATTAAATAAAATACAGATGCTCAGCTTCTCTCCCCAAAATCATGTTATGAGTTCTGGTCTGGCTTTGAGGACGGCTTTATTTCCACAGCTATTTCTGCTCAGTGGGGCAGATGGTGTTTTCACTCATGCAGCCGGGTGTGCGCTCTGGCTCTTTGGAAGGGCTCAGTTTTGTCAACGGGATTAAGGGATGTGAGGGTCCATGGTGAAGTTCATTTCTAGGTGTGTCTGTCAGCGTGTGCATCGCAATGGCTTAGGCTTCACATCCAAAGGCTGAGGAAAGAGCTGCCTGAGCAGTGAAGGAGACATCACAGTACTGACTGAATACACACGCAAGGGAAAAGGCAGAAGAAAACTTTATTCTCATGCCATGTGCAGGAGCACCTCACTTTCTCGCCCTCTGTGCTCTGCACATTGGCTCTTCCCCACAGGGAGTGGCATTCTCAGCCTTGAGACTTGGGCCTCTTGGTTCTCAGGTCTTCAGCCCTGGACTCCAAGAAGCCTTGTGAGTGCATCTGAATAAGAGGCCTTCCAGCTTGACCTGAATTAAGTCACCAGATTGTGTTTCTTGTCTTTGAAGACAGAAATTTATGGGGCTTTTTCATCTTCATTGCCACTTAAGTCAATTTTCATAAATAATCTATCTATCTACCTATCATTGAGCTATACAGAGGAAGAAATTGTTATGTATAAACTCACAGAAACACACATGTATCTTTTTGATTGCTTCCATGGAGAAACCCGTCCTCAGCAAAATTTTAACCTTGTCCCATGGGGAAAAAAAAAACCTTTTAAATCATCATTAATAAGCAGTCCAGGGCCAGGGAGATGGCTCAGTAGAATGAGCCCTTCCCTGGCAAGAACAAGGGCCTGGGTTCATCCCCGGTTCTGCAGGAAAAAAAAGGGCGGCATTTTCCGTTTTAAAAAAGTATATAAAAGATATTTTAAATCATTTCCATCATTTTTTTCTATTTCATCACCTTTACATTACAATGTTTTGATATATGTCGTTAAAATTGTAATTAACTGAGGTAATGTAAGTAATTATTATGTATTTGAAAAATAAAAGTGTGAGAGATTTATGGAATACTACAATCAAGATATGCATGAATGCATTCCTCTAAAAATCAACACAGGGCCAGGCCTGTAGCTCAGTAGCATAAACGCTGGCATGGCAAGTACAAGATCCTGAGTTCAATCCCTGGCACTGAAAAAAAAAATCAACAAACATTGATCTGGGACCCTCCTGTCCCTCAGGAGTGATTCCGATTCCCCATTCCTACCTCCCCCAGCCCCTGAGCCTGCTTGCAGGCTCTTTAATCCACTGAGCTAGTTGGCCAGACATTTAAAGTTAAGAAGGATTTTTTTTCTTTTTGCTGGCTCAGGCTGCCTTAAGGGCAGGTCTGGTAGGCAGATGGAGCTGGGAATTGAGTCATGAGCCTGACTGGGTTTGCCAGAGCAGGTACTTAAACAACTAAGCTAACTTGCAACCCTCTGTGAGATAACCGTAATTTAAATCCAGATTCTAATCTCTCTCTCTCTCTCTCTCTCTCTCTCTCTCTCTCTCTCTCTCTCTCTCTCTCTCTCTCCTCTCTCTCTTTCTTATATATTTGTACCAGGAATGAAACTCATGACCTCATGCTTTCCAGGCAGGCTTAACCTCAACAGTTGAGAGAGCAGGTAAAGAGAGAACAGCAAGACAAGAGAAGACGCGGTGAGCCCTAGGAAGCAAGCCTGCTGATCATCTGAATGAAGTGCCCAAGATGGGTGTCAATGAATGATTCTTGCAGCAGGCTTCCTAGTGCTGAGGACTCACCACTTTGCAGCTTGTGTGTGTGTGTGTGTGTGTGTGTGTGTGTGTGTGTGTGTGTGTATGTGTAGAGGTCTCTGATCTGAAAGTTACATTATTTTTAACATCCCTGGCATATACCTCTAGCTAGCAAGATTCACATTATGCTCAACAGTTAGTGATTATCACCAATACCAAACACGTACTAAAAGTAAAATTATTCATGTGGAAACCCCTACTTTACTGTTGTCTTTAATATAATGACAAATTTTAGTCACATTTCATATACGTTAATAATCTATTGTTATTACTCAGATAATCATCAATGGTTCACTGAGAAGCCTTTACTTTTGTCAATTATTGGGCAAAATCTAGTTGCATAATTCTCAGATGAAAGCAGTCCTAGCATAGATTTGTACGTAAGACATCGCACGTAACACAGAATAGTCCTTCATCCTCTATGTCTGATAGTATCACGTGTGAGACATGCCTACAAGAAAACCAAGCCAAAACAGAAAAAAATACAGTGCGCAGAAGATGATTTATTGAGGATTTTGTAAGCGGAACATGACACAGAAGTTGGCTTTGTTTCTAGAAGTCACTGCCTTAGTTTCCTGAGCACAGCAGCCTGGCTGCTCCGGCTCACGGCTCTCCTCAGAGCCTCCTTGACGTCCTTGTTCCGGAGGCTATAGATCAGGGGGTTCAGCATGGGGATGATTACCGTGTAGAAGACAGAGGCCAGCTTGTCGGTGTCCAGCGAGTGGGTGGAGCTGGGCTGCAGGTACATGAAGATCAGGGTCCCATAGAATATGGTCACCGCCAGCATGTGGGAGCCACAGGTGGAGAAGGCTTTGCGCCTTCCCTCGGCTGAGCGCATCCTCAGGATGGCGGAGGCAATGAACACGTAGGAGACAGCGACGATCAGGACGGAGGAAATGAACGTGACCCCAGCACAGGTCAGAACCCACAGCTGTTTGGAGCGCGTGTCTGAGCACGTGATCCTGAGCAGAGGCATGTCGTCGCAGTAGAAGTGATTGATGACATTGGAGCGGCAGTAGCAGAGGCGGAAGGTCAAGGTGGTGTGGAACAGTGCCATCAGGAAGCTGTAGCTGTAGGGGGCAGCGACCAGCTGAATGCAGATGCCTGGCGACATTCTGACCATGTAGTGCAGAGGGTTGCAAATGGCCACGTATCTATCATAGGCCATGGAGGCCAGCAGCAAGCACTCTGACACCATGAAGGTGAGGAAGCAGCCCAACTGCGCAGCACAGGCATGGAAGGAGACGACCTTTCTTTGGTAGAGGAAATTCCCCAGCATTTTGGGTGTGATAACCGAAGTATAGCAGAAATCCACAAAAGCCAGGTTGCTCAGAAAGAAGTACATTGGTGTGTGGAGTCTTGTGTCTGTTCTGATGACCACGATCAAACCCAGGTTGCCCATGACTGTGAAAATGTAGATGGCTAGGAATGCCAGGAAGAGGGGCATCTTCAGCTCCTGGCGGTCTGTGAGGCCACAGAGAATGAAGTCAGTCACCTGCGTGCAGTTCATGCCAGCCACGTCTCCTCAGGACAGCTGCATGACCAAGGAGAGGAGAGTGATGTCTAAGAGCTGTGCTTATGATATCTTTCCAACAAATGGTGATTTTATTCTGTTCTCACTTTAAAATGTTTTTGTTAAAAATGTTTTTGTAATTAGAGAAACAAAGGGGCTACAAGAATAGCCAATATTTTGGTCCTAGCACTTCAAGGTCAGTGAGGACTCAGGACATAAGAGAACCTGTGCTGTGATATCCTATAACTCAGTTGTGTCCCAAATTTTCTGATCAAGGAGATTATGAGCCCACAGAGGAAAGTGGTCAATGATGTAGAGTGTGCCTAATGGGAGTCACCTAGAGAGAAAAATTTCTCTCAGGCTTTCCCAGAGAGCAAATTGGTTAAGCAATGGCCATGACTCATCCAGGTGGCTGACACTGACAAAAGGTCTACAAGGTGCTGTGCATGGTTCCAGCATAAATCCTGATGGGATTTGGTTGACTTGTCAGATACAAAAGTTACATTTGTACTCATACAGGTTTTGCTCTAACTTGGTCTTAACCATCCAGCAGAAGAGTAAAAAAATGAGGTTTAAAAAGTAAAGCCATATTAGTATGCTGAGCTGTAAAAGGCTCAAGTCAACAACTTCTGACAATTTCCAGTTCTGCAAACAACCCACTACTATTATGGGCTATTGGACTATATTGGGTTATTTTGCTGAATTCAAGTACCTATAATCTTTAGCCTGGTTTCAAGTATGAAAACATCCTCTAAAGACTTCTCCAAATATTTTCTGTAACTGTAGTGCAACACCCATGTCTGAAAAAACAGAACAGAAAAGGGGGATATATTAGCCACAAA